TTTTCCCCCAAATTCAGTTCTATGTTTTGTTTTATAATTCAGTTCTGTTTTTATCCAAATTCTGTGATTTCCATTGGTTTGATTAAAGGGTACCTATTATGCCCCTTTTTACTAGATGTAATACAAGTCTCAGATGTCCCCAGAATGTGTCTGTGGGGTTTCAGCTCAAAATACCCCACAGATCATTTATTATATAATTTTATAAATGCCTATTTTGAGTGAAAACAGAAACACGCTGTTTTAGTGCATGTCTCTTTATATGCAAATCAACTGCTGCTTCCCGCCCCCTTTTCCAGAATAGGGCTGCCTTTACAGCTCGTAACTGCTAAAAAAACATCTGTTTGGTTTTGATTATCATGTCTATCTTGCTGAAATCATGTGTCTTAAAGCCATATCATTTTAAACTTCTGATAAACGGTTTTCTGAACGCACACATCTGAAGCACACGTATAGAAAGCGGCTGCAAAAGGCATGCGAGTACTAAACTAAGTTCTCTTTCACACACGAGTTTGTCAAAAACATGGATAAGTAACAAAAACACAGTCGGTTATGTTTGTGAAGGTAAACATCTAGGAAAGAAATTGCATGTTTATATTAAATCTGTGTATTAAATGACAGCAGCATAATATACAGTACCTATACTGCTGTCTATGCTATTAATATGACCCAAAGAATAAAATAAAAGCAGAAAGTCACTCACTGCTCTGGACTGAATAACTTATGTAGCTGTAATAAGAAGACATTTCTTACTTGAATGCTGCTTTTAAACACTCTAGCGTGAAGATAAACATGGCGGATTGTGTGCGGCTCACTCAGGGCGGGGTCTTGACTAGATTACGGCAGTGTCAATCAACACTCGTGGGTGGGGCCTGTAAAATGTGACGTCACACTTTACAGATTCTGTGATCGGCTTGCTCTGAGACACTGCTAATGATATATGGAGATAAAATAAAGGAGCGGGTGGATTTTTATCATTATATGGTGGTTGTGTACACACATTTATGTTCAAACAACATGCAAAAGTGAATTTTGCATAATAGGTGCCCTTTTAAGTTTTATTAGTCAAACAACTATTTATTGAATTAATACAATTTTGTATTCATATCAATTTTAACATAATAGTACCCTGTGAAATGTTTAATCTTTTCAGAAATTCTGAGTTGTTTGATGAAATTTTAACTGGATTCTGTGTTTTATGATTGAATACATATTTAATATCAAAAACGGTGGTGATCAAATGGATGCGTGAAACATGCATGAAAAATTATTTAATCTTTAAAAATGTGATCCAGTGGAAATGTAACAGTTTCTTTTATTTTTGCTAAAAATGTTTCACGATTCAGGTTTACCATTTAAAAATGTTGATATTGTGTGATTCCTTAAATAATGTTTTAATAATAGTAATACAATTTATTATTAATATTGAGAGTTACTTTCTATTGTAAGCAGGGGCGCGTGATGATGTTTTCGGTTGGGGGTGCTGTGTGTGTGTCCGTGTTGGGCCGATTTTGTAAAGTTTTTGCTGGGATGGGCATTAAAAAAAATCTGAAATTCGCTTTTGCGCCATTATCTCCTTGTATTAAAGTTAATCTTGTTAGCATTCTGTATAGTTCATGTCTGAATCCACGCACCAGCGTCACGTGTTCATGAGGATTAGGCTGATCATCCCATATAGAAAACATCACAAGTAAAATTAATCATGTTTATAAAGATAAACATGGGTTTATTATAGCCCACTTACAATTTACATTTCAGAGATCATTACAAATAAATTATTAAATGCTAAAACTGAATACATTTAAATGAACAAACTTGGCGTTGCATTTGTAACCATGTGAAAACAGGGGGTGCTGCAGCCCCCTCAGCACCCCTACTTCCCGCGTCCCTGATTGCAAGTAAATTCAAGTTTTTATTTTGGCGCGTTATAGTGAAGACCTTTGAGATTCTATGTGTTTTCATCAAATGGTGAAATGCTGGTGAAGTGACTCTCAGAGCCGCTCTGGAGATGAAGTTTATTTGTTCATGTCCTCATACAGATGAAACTGTTCTGCTCATTCGCATACAGACACAGAAAATGCAGACTTCATATTTTGTAGCAAAGTTTGTTCCTCATGAAATGTAGTAACTGCTCAGACATCAGTTTACAATTTCAGTGCACCTATGTTTAATGGCTGTGATGAACTAAACCCTACTGGCTACTTTAAATAAGATGTGCTCTTTGATAATGCCAGCCAATCAGAATTGCCAAAAGAGACTTTAATGAGCTCAAGCATTAATAGACTGCAGTGCGCTTATAATAAACAGAATATTTTTGTCACTTGGTGTAGACGCCAATATAGTTATCGTTTTTTTTGCATGTCAGATTGTCTGTTTCTGTATAAATGCACAGGTCTTGTCTGCAATGTGGACCAGACCTTATGCTGATAGTCAAAGGTCTGGTTATGTGAAACTAAACAGCCTGTAGACATCTCCAGGCCTCCAGATGCACATCCATTATCATTTCAGCTCGTTCAGTTCTTCATTGATTTCCTGCTGACCCTGAGATCACTGAACTGTGTAAATCCTCCATGTGCTGGGGCTTGAAAGGGAGAGAGCATGTTTGTATATGCAATGCACATCGTGGATAGATGGCTTTACTCACCGCATTAAACAAGCCCCCACTATGTTACTGTTACTGGATGTATGTGTTAGTCTTTTATATGCAAAACTCCTCAGTGCAGAGATGTTTGTCAGTATATCATTAATGTTCATTAGCTTAGAGTTCACAGTTCTGAACACAATTCACTGGCTGAAAGCTGCTGACTGTGTTGTACAAGCTGTAATCGCACATTGTGATGTTCTAATTAACGGCTTTATCAACTGGACAGCTGACTGTGATTAGAGCAGTTAATTACTGCAAATAAAGATGAATTGTGATGGATTTTACAATGATGAATGCCACAGGGACTTAATTACAACACACTTTGATGAAAAACATCCTGGCAGCTGTTGCAGTTTTGCTGTGGCTTGGAGAAAAAATGCAATTGTAGCATTTAGCTTCAAAGGGAATGCATTACAATCGTTTTTTCCAGTGTTATTATAGTCTGTGAAATAAAAAAATTTTTTTTCATTTTTCTTTGCGTTTGAAGTAATTCCCACAGATCTAGTTCAGAACAGCAATATTAGTGTATAAAATGAAAGCACTCACTGTTCAGATGCTTTCTGGCTTTTTGAAGGCATCTAATTGTCATTTGTGTCAATTGTCGTTTGTTAAAGGGATAGTTAATCCAAAAATGAAATTTCTGTCATTTAATCACATTCACGTTGTTTCAAACCTGCTTGAGTTTCTTTCATCTGTTGAACACAAAAGAATATGGGTAACCAAACATGGAAGTCAATTGACCGTTCGCATGGAGCTTGATTGACAGGCGATCTGACCAATCAGAACGCAGATATTAGGCTTGTTCGAGATGAACTACACTAGCTTGCCACCGGCTGGCGAGAGTAGCCGCTCAAGTCGGACACTTTCTGCTCCCGGTAGTGACGCTCGCACGGTGTTTGCGTACTCTATCACAGAGGAAGTGAAATAAATGCAATATTTGTCAAAAAATGTGTTTCAGAAACGTTTTCATGAGCAACAGAAACACGTTTTATATACTGCTTAATACAGCGGCATCTGTTTATGAATAAAGTTTGACATAAACTATTTAAATAGCAATAAAGTGGGGGTATATATGCTTTTGTCAGTGTTTTTTTTGATAAATGTGACTCAATATAACAATGCGACTACACTAAAAAAGCTTTACTGTTATAAAAACACAGATTTGTGAGCATTATTGGAATTGAATTGTTAGAATAAACACGCAACACACGTCGTGCTTGTCATCACAGAATCTAACCAATGAGAATAAAGTGTGTCGTCATCAAGGATCTCGCAGCTGATTTTGAGCAGCTGCAGCGCCTGACCTCGGCGGCTGTTCTCGTTTTGCTCTCGCGGTACTTTGATGGCACATGTGATCATAAGGCGGCTGCAGCGCCGATCAAAATCGGACAAATTTTCTAACCAGAATGCACTGCTTTTGTCAGGCGGCAGCCGATCTTTGCGGCGCCGCATGAAGTCGAACAAGCCTATTATGTGCCACCGTATCGGAGATAGCAACAGTAACTAAGGGTGGGCGGCTGTTTGCGAATGGTCAATTGGGACCAGCAACTGTTTGGTTACCAACTTTCTTCAAAATATCTTCTTTTGTATGTATGTGTTAGTCTTTTATATGCAAAACTCCTCAGTGCAGAGATGTTTGTCAGTATATCATTAATGTTCATTAGCTTAGAGTTCACAGTTCTGAACACAATTCACTGGCTGAAAGCTGCTGACTGTGTTGTACAAGCTGTAATCGCACATTGTGATGTTCTAATTAACGGCTTTATCAACTGGACAGCTGACTGTGATTAGAGCAGTTAATTACTGCAAATAAAGATGAATTGTGATGGATTTTACAATGATGAATGCCACAGGGACTTAATTACAACACACTTTGATGAAAAACATCCTGGCAGCTGTTGCAGTTTTGCTGTGGCTTGGAGAAAAAATGCAATTGTAGCATTTAGCTTCAAAGGGAATGCATTACAATCGTTTTTTCCAGTGTTATTATAGTCTGTGAAATAAAAATTTTTTTTTTCATTTTTCTTTGCGTTTGAAGTAATTCCCACAGATCTAGTTCAGAACAGCAATATTAGTGTATAAAATGAAAGCACTCACTGTTCAGATGCTTTCTGGCTTTTTGAAGGCATCTAATTGTCATTTGTGTCAATTGTCGTTTGTTAAAGGGATAGTTAATCCAAAAATGAAATTTCTGTCATTTAATCACATTCACGTTGTTTCAAACCTGCTTGAGTTTCTTTCATCTGTTGAACACAAAAGAATATGGGTAACCAAACATGGAAGTCAATTGACCGTTCGCATGGAGCTTGATTGACAGGCGATCTGACCAATCAGAACGCAGATATTAGGCTTGTTCGAGATGAACTACACTAGCTTGCCACCGGCTGGCGAGAGTAGCCGCTCAAGTCGGACACTTTCTGCTCCCGGTAGTGACGCTCGCACGGTGTTTGCGTACTCTATCACAGAGGAAGTGAAATAAATGCAATATTTGTCAAAAAATGTGTTTCAGAAACGTTTTCATGAGCAACAGAAACACGTTTTATATACTGCTTAATACAGCGGCATCTGTTTATGAATAAAGTTTGACATAAACTATTTAAATAGCAATAAAGTGGGGGTATATATGCTTTTGTCAGTGTTTTTTTTGATAAATGTGACTCAATATAACAATGCGACTACACTAAAAAAGCTTTACTGTTATAAAAACACAGATTTGTGAGCATTATTGGAATTGAATTGTTAGAATAAACACGCAACACACGTCGTGCTTGTCATCACAGAATCTAACCAATGAGAATAAAGTGTGTCGTCATCAAGGATCTCGCAGCTGATTTTGAGCAGCTGCAGCGCCTGACCTCGGCGGCTGTTCTCGTTTTGCTCTCGCGGTACTTTGATGGCACATGTGATCATAAGGCGGCTGCAGCGCCGATCAAAATCGGACAAATTTTCTAACCAGAATGCACTGCTTTTGTCAGGCGGCAGCCGATCTTTGCGGCGCCGCATGAAGTCGAACAAGCCTATTATGTGCCACCGTATCGGAGATAGCAACAGTAACTAAGGGTGGGCGGCTGTTTGCGAATGGTCAATTGGGACCAGCAACTGTTTGGTTACCAACTTTCTTCAAAATATCTTCTTTTGTGTTCAACAGAAGAAAGAACCTCATACAGGTTTGGAAATCCTTGATGGTAAGTAAACGATGGCAGAATTGTCATTTTTGGGGGAACTATCCCTTTAAACTGTAGTTTATTTTGATCCAAAACCACAGAGACTGACATGTACAACATGTAAAGCGACCAACTGCAGTTCATTAACTTTAAACATTTTGTTTTAAAACGTTCTGTTCATGGGTTGGCAGATGTTGCAAATTCAATACAGCAATATTGTTTGCATGCGCATTTCAGGGGCCCTTTTCTTTTTTTGTTTTCACATTTTTTTCCCCCTAAGCTTCTTTTGTTTTCTGACACTGGTACTCTTAATTCCACAAGTTGTGTAAAGCCAGCCAATCAGATTGGAGCTGGTGATTTCAGCCAGCTCTTGCTATTTTTATGTGCAATATGCATCAATATGCGGTCTGAGGCAGGCAGCCTGAGACTGAGGTAGAAATTACTTTCTGCTTTTATCTCTGTCTGAGTGATGTTTGTACAGCAGGCTTGTTATCAAGGATGGAAAACAGCCACCTCTTTATCAGTAGGAAGAATGGGGCAGAAAAAGAGGTGACCTCCCCAAGGGTTTGGCTGATCTCTCTGATGTGGGTCAGGAAGGAGGGAGAGGGGAACCCTTACCAAAAAGTAGTATACTTCAAGTATATTTTAGTAAGTATACTTAAGTAAAGTTCAAGTATATTTTTAAGTATACTTTATGTAGTAAGTATACAAATATCAGTGTACTAGTAGTACTTGTAAGTGTACTATTTCAATACTCCTTGGGACTAAATTGGCCCACTTTCTAGTATATAAAACTATACTTTTAAGTATACTTTAAGTATAACAGTAGTAAACGTTGAGTACACAACTAGTTTACATCAAAATGTTTAGTTTGTACTGCAACTATACTAAAAGTGAACTTATAGGTATACTGATAGTTTACTAATTAAATAATTGTAGCGTTTTTAGTACACTTTGAAGTATAGTCTCAGTAAACTACTAGTTTAGTAGTTTTATACTGCAAGTATACTCGTAAGTTTTCTTTAAGTGAACTTTACATCATACTTTAAGTATACTACTATGTCCCTATTTAGGTATTAATTTGTATATATTTTGTTACATGAATATCTGAACATACAAAACATCAAAAGAACAGGGTATCTGCTTGTAAACAAAAAAAATTATTCTAGCTTCATGCATTATTTTTTTAAACACTTGAATGTGGATAAGTTTCATAAATAAAAAATAAAGAAATAAACAACATTTTGAACAAAAAGCTGAAAAAAGACTATGAATTGGATTCAGAATGATAATCAAAACGTAGATAAAGTCGATCAACACCCCAAAGCTTGACAGTTATTATTACCTCTTCATTGGTCGACATTTTATTCCATAACGTTACACAGTTTTGATGCTGTTTTATGTCTGATGATCGTGTTAGAATACATGTGGAAGCATCTGTTGTTTCGGTTTCTTCTTCACTTGTGTTTTTTGGAAATTCTGTACAGAAGATGTGTACTAGCGCCCCCTACAGTATAACAATGAAAACACGGATTCTAGGAGCACAATTATAGCTAAAATATATTTAGACTTTTTCTAAGTATAAGTCAAGTATACTTAAATGTAATAGTAAGTATATTTCTGAGAAGTACATAAAGCCCATTTCTGAGAAGTACATAAAAAGTAGACAAAGTATACTTTCCTATTTTTAGTTTAAAAGAAGTATACTAATAGCACACTTGAATAAACTTCTTTTTCGTAAGGGAATGGATGGATAGATGGACAGTCATGGGTCACGGGCCGGAAATCACACCCTCGCTATCATTCAGAAACACAGAGGGTGGTGTGTGTGCATGAATAGCTTTGTTTTGGAATAGTATACAACTATACTTCTCATGCTATTTTCTCAAAGAAATACGTTCAATATCCATTTAGGCTGCATGGGTCAAATGAAATGAAAGCAATATGTTGTTTGTAAAAAAGTTGATTAAGAATAATGGAATATCCATTATTGTTAAAAATGTGGTTTTTAAATGATTTTGAAAGAAGTCTATTATGCTTACTAAAGCTGCATTTATTTGATAAAAAATACAGTAAAATATTGTGAAATATTATTACAACTTAAAGCAAATATTTTCTGTTTGAATATATTTTAAAATGTAATTTATTCCTGTGATGCAAAGCTGAATTTTCAGCATAATTACTCCAATCTTTAGTGTAACATGATTCTTCAGAAATCAGTCTAATATGCTGATTTACTGCTCAAGAAACATTAATTATTACCAATGCTGAAAACAGTTGTGCTGATTAATAATTTTGTGGAAACCATCATTTATTTGAAATAGAAATCTTTTGTAACATTGTAAATGTCTTTACTGTCACTTTTGATCAATTTAATTAATCCTTGCTGTATAAAATAAGGTTATATAATAAGATTTCTCTCCCCAATGTGCACTAAGTAGCTGTGTGGATTTATTAGAGGTGAACAAAAGCTCTTTTGATTATGATACTTAGGCTTTAGAGAAATGGAAAACTTCTTTCCTTCTCTTATTGGTCTTTATTCCCAACTTCACCCCCGCTGACACAACCGTAACATCTTCTCCAAATGATTTAAAGGATTACACACACTCTTTATGGGATTAGCTCCAATTTAAACAGATGATTACCGCAGTGGATCGATCAGAGACAAAAAAGGTGCATTACACAAGTTGATTTGTGGGCTAGCTGAAGCTAATCTAGGGGAAATGGCTGGTTTACGGAGCGGGAGTGAATCTGATATGATGGAGATCGGAATACTTTGCCAGGAACCTCTGCTTCATCTTTCAGCCTCTAAAAGCATTCAGCCATTCCTGCACATGCTAATGAGTCCCACAAGTCAAGGAGAGAAAGAGAGTGCGTTCTCCTTCATCATTAGCTGTTTGCATGCGTGAAACACTAAACATGCCATTTCTCCGCTTCTATTGCATTCACACTTTCTAGAGGTTTCTGTTCAGCCGTTAAAGTTGGTTAGTGAGAACAAAGTAAACTGTATGTTCAGTCACAACTGTCACAAATGTGTGATTGTTACTGCACTTTGTATTATGTAATCTACTGTACGCTTGTTTGCATTTGCACACATCTGTGGAAGGCCATTTGTTAACTAAAAAAATGTAAATAAATCTGAAATACAATACAAATTTTAGATGAAAAATTTAAAGGGGACATCAGATGCCCATTTTCCACAAGTTGGTAAACTCTTAAAAATAAAGGTGCTTAAAAGGTTCTTCACAGCGATGCCATAGAAGAACCATTTTTGGTTCCACAAAGAACCATTCAGTCAAAGGTTATTTAAAGAACCATCTTTTTCTTACCTTTTTATTATCTGAAGAACCTTCTTTCACCACAAAGAGCCTTTTGGGAAACAGAAAGGTTCTTCAGATGTTAAAGGTTCTTTTTGGAACCATTTAAACAAAAAAGGTTGTTCTATGGCATCGTGAAGCACCTTTATATTTAAGAGTGTATGATTCTTTAGGGTCTTCATGAAATGTCTGTATCATACTTTGGTTAAAATTCCTCAGTGGTTGTGTCAAACAACATCCTTTCTAACTTGTCAAAAATAGTTAAGGAAATGCTTTTTCTATGTGTTAAGTAATGGTGCAAACCTTATAAATCACCTTGCATGATTCATTTAAATACTGTCATTCTATACATTTAGCTTCTGAAAGGGAAACTCCTTCAAATGCATATGCAGTAAGATCAGCTGCAAAAACAACTGCTCTAAAAAGTAATTCAGGAGACCTTTTACCACAACTTCAATAAATGCATGGTTACAAGTTAGAAATTTTGAGTTCAGTTGACATCATAATGTTTTTCATTACATTAAATTAATATTGTGTGGAAGTTAAACTCAAATTTCAGTGTTAAGTTGTAGTAACTCTTGTCTTGTTAACTTTGGAATTTAGGTAGTGGATTTCTAGTTCCCAGCATGCTTTGCATAGGACTGGAAAAGGAGAATACATGTTTTTGAAATGAAATGAACTGTTATTATGGGGCAGTTGTGGCCTAGTGGTTAGAGAGTCAAACTTGTGACCCAAAGGTTAGAGGTTTGAGTCTTGGTACCGGCAGGTCTCCAATGTATGTATTTTTATGCGTATTAACATTTTGGTACAAAAATATTTTGAAATCATTTTGCTCCATCATGTTTCATGTAGTAGCATCAGACTTTGTGTGAACAGGCTTTAAATGGGTAATTCACCACTGGGCAAATACTGTAACTTGGCTGTCTATGCAGTAGAAATTTATTTTTCTTTTTCTTTCTGAAATTGGTGCTACATGACTAGAGAAAACG